GGGGAGGTTCCCTTCAACAGAACCTCTTCTGGAGAAGGGGTCCCACGGAACAAAGGCAGCCCTGTGCTCTGGAATGGGTCAGGGGCCTGGTGTGGCTGCATCCCCAGCAAGACACCCTGAAAAACGAAGAGGCCCTGGGCCTCCTAGATAAGGACTTTGAAAGGGCAACTTACCCAGTCGAGAGCAGATCTTAGTCTGGCGGAGAGCAGGTGTGAGGGAGAGGGTTGTTTTCCCACCACACAGCCCTAGGCCAGTGGGGAAAAATCAGCACCCCCTGGGTGGAACTTCCAGATGATAAGTTTAAGGCCTTCTGAAGGCCTCTCCGCCAATGCAGCAAACCGAATCAGACCAAATTGAAAAAGCCCAGGTTTAATGGGTAAAATGTTCCCGGGTGATTCCTTGGCCCCTCAGAGAGGAGACCAGGCTGAGAGACCAGAAGAACCACATGTCTGTTTTCTGGGATGCCACTTATATACCCTGTGGGTCTTGAGCCTCCCTGGGGGAGGAGCTGTGTTTGGCGGGCTTTGAAGGGGTGGGTTTAGGGAAAGAGACGGGGAAGGGAGTTGAGGTGGATCTTCCACCAGACTCCTTCCAAACAAAGAGGTGCTGGGAACCACCATAGTTGACATATAAACCTGCAAGATGTTTTCAGGATTGAGACAACTCTTTCTACCCTAGCTTCACAAGGAGGAATCCCAGATGCGGGGTTTGATGCCATAAAACACCAAAAGACCAAAGTGCTTTGTAAATAGTTCTGTAGGTTCTGTGGGTTCAATAGAGAGAGCCCTTTAGAATTATTGCTTAAGATTCAATACTAACCAAGGCCCAGGTGGTGACCTGTTACCGTAGTATCTGGGAGTCTAAGACAGGTGGATCTATGCAAAGTTGAGGTCAGCCTGATCTCTATAGTGAGCTCCTGGTCAGCCTTGGCTACATAGTGAGACTGTGTCAAAAGAAAGAAAAGAAGAAAGAAAGAGAGAAAGGAAGGAAGGAAGGAAGGAAGGAAGGAAAAAAGAAAGTAGAGAGGGAGGAAGGGGGAGGGAGGGAGAGAAAAAGTTGATAGTAGTCACGGTAATGCATCATCTACTATTACTTAAAAGATAGTAACTGGCACTTACGCCAAGCTTTGTTGTGTGTGAGGGATTGCATAGCACGTAATACATCCATTAAGGCTTAGCTTCATGGCATAAAGTAAAAGACTGTAAGCAGAGTAAAAGGAAGTCTTTAGCCTAAGTAGTCCCTGAAGCCAAGTTGTCCTGCGGATATGGACTACTCTAGAGCCACTCATGAGATTGACATCATGGCCTGAAGTGGACACACTTCCATTAAGGAAAACAGCGGAACAGTGAACATTTGAATTCTAAGCCTTTGACACTAGGTGGTTTTTAAGGCAAAGGAAGGGTGTACAGAGAGAAGGAGAGTGGCCTTGCTTCTCTTTGCTTCCCAAGTCTGACCGTGGATGTGGAGAAAAGTATCAGGAAGGTCTTAGAGAACTTGAGGATCAGAAGAAGATGGATGAGGGTTGAGCTGTCCCTGGCCTGGGATTCTTTCCTCACCTTGCTGGGGAGCCTGCTCAGGGAAACCCACAGGAGGAGAACAAGTTCTCCTCCTCACAGCTTCCACCACCCTCTTCCCTCTCCTGGCCTTCCAGGGATCCCCAGTGGCTACATACACCTGGCCTTCAGGAAGCAAGGGAGATACCAAGTAGTCCGGGGCAGTCAACCACGGGACAGAGAGAAGGGCAGAGAAGAGAACCAGAGGAGCAAATGGAAGCCATGGCACACATGTCAACGTCTCTCACCTCCTATGGTTCTTCTACTCCTAACACACACACACACACACACACACACACACACACACACACACACACACACAAGCAACTCCCTGCAGTCTTCCACATTGACTCATTGCCATTGCATGGTGGCCTTGTCCATGCTGTTCCTCTCTCTAAGAGTCTTTCCTCCATGTATTCTATGCTTCTCTTACCCAGCCTCTGTTTAGAGATCATTTCCTCCAGGGAACTGGTCCTGGTCCCCAAGCCTGAATAGCGTACCCTTTCATTCTCTGTGGTCTGACACTAATATTGACTAACATATGAAAGTGAAGTCTGTGGCAAGTGGGGTCTAAGTGGCCTTAGTAGGGGCTAATTCATCATTTCTTACAACCTAGATCAGAAAAATACTGCTGTCACTCCTTGCCACTTATAGAGTAGGAGTCAACCAACTGAGGTCTAGACTTGCGTTCTAGATATACATGATCTAGAATCCATGATGTCAATTCCTGTGCTAAATATTCCTCATGCCAAACTCCACATTTCCTTAGCCCATTCTCAGTGCCCAGAACATAGAAGACACTTAGTAAATATTACCAGATTTCATTAGTTAGCTAATCAATATTTGTTGATCTATAGACCATCAGATGTTGCTTCTTCTTCTTCTTCTTCTTCTTCTTCTTCTTCTTCTTCTTCTTCTTCTTCTTCTATTTCTTCTTCTCCTCCTTCCTCTTCCTCTCCCCACCTCCTCCTCTTTTTTAAGCCAGAGAAGAATTTCTTGTCTAGCTTTTGCTTTGTTCCCATCAGCTGCTCACACAAGACTGGGTTTTAATAAGGAAGATCTGTCTAAGAACTTTTTGTCACACCAGAATTTATCACCCCAGCTGCTATTGGGAGTTCAAGTATCCATGTGATGAAGGGTCTGACGGCACAATTTCTGCAAAAACCATTAATGGCATCCACTTCAGCAATTATATTTATCATTTCCCACCTGGGAGTTAAGCCTATGCTCTGCTCACAAGGATGTGTAGTCACTTATGGATCCGATGCAGCCCCTGACGCCACAGCTCCTGCAAAAATCATTAATGCTGTCTGCTTCAGCAGCAGGGCACAGGAATCGGGCTCCTGAAAGAAATCTAAAAAAAGAGGAAGGTGGCGGTGTAGACGAGTTGTGGAAAAGCAGGTTCATGCACAGGAAAGAGGCAGCTCTGTGGGGGGAAGAATGAAGAAGGCGCATTGTATTCCAGAACATGAAGAGTTAAACTGAGATGTCGTAAAAGTGGAGCAAGCCGAGAAACTAAAATATGAGAATATACCTTCCCCTATTCCAGACACTATTATACTACAAAGAGTGCCTTAATCACTGTAACCCCAGAGTGGGTATTTCCCAGTTAATAGATGAGAAAATGGAAGGTCAAAGATGCTCTGCACGTATACGGGCTTAATCCAGAGAATGGCCTGCGTTCTGTCCACTACTCATAGTTTTCATTGTGCATCACTTAGACTCCATGTCTGGTATAGAGGACAGAACTCTATACGAGGACAGTACTCATGTGTCCACTCAGTTCTACACAAGTGTTTATTTTGAGTACATACGTTGTATCAGGCACTGTACTTTGTGCTGGGGATGATACAGTGAAGTGTTTTGCCCACAGTTTCAAGGTTCCCATTATTCATTGGGGACCATGTAATGACAGGATGCTATAGGAGGAGAAGGGCACCTAGCCCAGTCTTGGTAAAGATGAGAAGAGACATTGGCCTCCAGGAGGACCTGCAAAGGAAGGGCATTCTAATGCAGTCTCCAGAAGCTAGAGATCCCAAGGAAGTAGGACAGTATGCTGGGCCTGAGGGGACAAGTGGTATGAAGACCCGAAAGTTCTTCCAGACTGCAAGCAGCTCAGGTGGAGGAAGAGGATAGCGAGAGACAAAAACAGTACAGGTGAACAGAAGTCCAGATGTGTCGAGCCTTGTGTACTACAACAAGGGATTTAGGGCTTTATTTTGAGTGTAAAGAGGAACCAAAGGGTGATGTTATCAAGACCCGCATCAAGGAGACATCGTGTGGCTGTGGGGTAAAGAATGAACGGAAGGAGGTAAGAAGGTTAACTGGAAATAGAGCATCCTTGGGAAAGGGGAAAGCTATACAGAAAATACCAAGAAGGCAGAATCAACAGACTGTGATGAGCAACTGGCCCCAGGAGTCAGCTGGTACTATGGTTTCCAATTTCTACCATAGAAAGTGGAAGGATATTGGTGAAGTATAAAATGCACATGGAGGATTAGGCTTGGGGAAATTATGGTGGCTTTAATTGTGTCAATATATCCAAATAGGAAGAACCAGCAGGTAGTTTCATATGGATCTGGACCTCAAGATAGAGATCTGAACTGAAAGAAAACTGAATTATTGCCGTAAAGATAAGTGGTCCCATATCTTTTTTGGAATCAGAATTGCTGGTGTCTTAGCAAATGAAATTGACTGACTTCATTCTCAACCAAATGACCCAAAAATGTCAGGGGAAAGTTTAAATATTAGTTTTTAAAATTTATTTTATGTGCATTGGTGTTTTGCCTACATGTCTGTCTGTCTGTGTGCGGGTGTCAGATCCCCTAGAACTGGAGTTACAGATAGTTGTGAGCTGCCATGTGGGTTCTGGGAATTGAACCTGGGTCCTCTGGAAGAGCAGCCAGTGCTCTTAACCTCTAAGCCATCTTTCCAGCCCCTAAATATTATGTTTTTAAAGGGCTCCAGTGAGATCCTTTGGCCTTGCCAAGACTGAAATATCTAAGTATGTGTGGGCATCACGACAGTGCATCGCTCAGACCTCCCTCGGATGAACCTTATATGAGGAGCCATTGATTGACAGACATAGGTCCCACTTGGGATCAGCACCATGCTCAGGCTGAGACCCTACTTCCTGGACAATATAGCAGTTCTTCTAAGCAACTTTAGATCCATAGTTCCCCATGGGCCTGGCTGAGACTGTCTTAGGACTGCCTGGCAGTCTGAGACTCTTAGAACTCGATTGCCCTTCCTTCCTCTTCTTCTTCCACAAGCATCTCAATAACATCTTGATCTGAATAGTCACAGGCTACACTCATTCTCTCCCCTTTATTGATCACACACGCAGTAAACCTCCCGCACATCTGCTGTACTTCAGATCTTGACTGATATAGGAAGCAGATGGATGGGTTATCCAGGTTGGTACTTTTTTTTCTCTTTTTTTGGCAGAGATGAGGGAAGGATCACAGAAGGAGGATTGGGGGAAACTGGCAGTGTTGGAGCCATGGTCTGTACCATCTACATCAGGCTGAAAAGGAAATGTAGAGAGTGAAGATACAGGAAAATAAGGACCAAAGAATGAGACTTGAGGGTAAGACAGATGTGAGGATAGGAGAGTATGATAAGGTTAGTGGATGTTGGGAGAGTTAGAGTGGGATCATATTGGGTAATGGTGTCGGGGTCTCACATATAGCAACTGGAGTAGGCAAATGTATTAGAAAATGGGGCTGAAGAGTAAGTAAACAAGACTCAGGAATGCTGGATGCATTTTTGCATATGGACAGTGAAACAATCATCAGTAGAGGCAGACTTGGGGAAGAGGGAGATGGTGCATGAGGAACCAGAGTCTACAGGAAGTGATGAGACAAGATGAGCAAGTCAGTAAGACAGATAGATGAAGAAGAAGGAAAGTGAAACCAAATCATGGGACCTTCAAGGAAAGGAAGATGGTATTTGGGGTGGAAGAATGGTGGCTGAATTCAGTGTCACTGAAGGAAGTTGCTGTCCAGCTAATCTCTTGTCCTGGGGATACCCAAATAGTATTCAGAGGGATGCAGAGGGCAAGTGGATTCTTTCCAGGCTGGGTTTTTACTCAGGCAAATGGACCTACTGACATTTTATGGAATTAAAAATCCAGAGGAATTACCCAGGGCAAAATGGGCAGAATTTGAAAGAAGAAAAGCAGAGCTGGGCAGTGGTGGCACACACCCTTAACCCCAGCACCTGGAAGGCAGAGACAGGTGAATCTCTGTGAAACTGAGGCCAGCTAGGTCTACAGAGTGAGTTCCAGGACAGACAGGGCTACACAGAGAAACCCTGTCTCAAAAGAAGAAGGAGGAGGAGGAGGAGGAGAAGAAGAAGAAGAAAAGCAGTGGGTTGAAGCAAGAGAAAGGAAGGACAAAATAGTGTGAGGACAGGAGTCTGAGAGAAAAGAGTTGATGTGGAAGTTTCATCATGAATGTGGTTAAATGCTGACATGGGGTAAGTAAGCCATGATGAGTAACAGCCGGGGTTTTGGAAGACTAGGTCTCCACCATAGCTGTGGGGGTTTGAGAATGGCCCCCAGGGTGTTATATGTTTAATAGAACTGTTTGGGAAGGATTAGAAAGGCCTCACTGGAGGAGGTGTGCCACTGGGGGTGGACTTTGAGGTTTCCATTATTTCCAGTTATTCCCACATTCCCAGTTACCTTTCTCTCTCTCTCTCTCTCTCTCTCTCTCTCTCTCTCTCTCTCTCTCTCTCTCTCTGCCTCATGGCTATTGTCTCAACAAGCAAACTCTTAGCTACTGCTCCAGCACCATGCCTGCCTGCTGCCAAGCTCCCTGCCATAATGGTCATGGACCAACCCTCTGAAGCTGTAAGCAAGTCGTGAATAAACTCTTTCTTTTATAAGTTGCCTTGGTCATGGTGTCTCTTCACAGCAATAGTAATTAAGAGAGTAGCTTTATGCAGAGGAGTGACCTGGGTTTCTGTAAGAAGTCAGGCACCCCTCCAAGGGAACTCCAAGCTGGATGAGCCCGTGAGCAATGAATGTACCAAAATTTCTCTATTTTAATACAACATGAATCATGAGGCCATCCATTTTAATAGCAGCTTTGAAGGGAAAACAAGAAATGATATGAATGTGCCATGTTGAAAGAAGGTACCACCATGTGGCCATAGGGTAGATAAGAAATATGGATTATTTTAAAATGTAAGTGTTAGCTAGAAACAAACCCAAGCTATTGGCTGAGCATTTATAATTAATAATAAATCCCTGAATGGTAATTTTGGAGCAACTGCTGGGACACAGAGAAACTCCACCTACATATGGTACCCACTGTCAGGCAACATAGATCCACATAAAACCTGAGAAAGCATGGGTTGGGGATTTATCTCAGTGGTAGAGCACTTGCCTAGCAAGCACAAGGTCCTGGGTCTGATCCTCAGCTCAAAAAAAAAAAAAAAAAACAAAAAAAACCACAAAACAACAAAAAACAAACAAAGATGGAATCAAACATGGTGTCTTTTCTCAGGTAAGCTCTGACTGCTAGTAGCAAACAGAGGCATGGCTCCTTTAAGAGGTGGCTGCCTTGACTTGGTGCTAGTGGCTAACACAGGTGCAGCTCTTTTAAGAGGCCCTGCTACTGAACATTTAAATAGGGTTTACGAACAGCAGGCAGTGTGCTACTCAGTGGTGGTGTGGATCCAACAACTTCACAGAGCTGAGGTGGTAAACATGGCTCCCACCAGTACCTCCACTATGAGGCTAAGCTCTCAGGGAACCACAGGGGAAGGAGCCAACTGTCAAGTGCTGGAACCATTCACCAAACTGAGCAGTGCTGGTGACTAACATGGCAGCTTAAGATTCATCTCATTCAATCAAAAAACGATACAAATGCTCAGTAAAGACAGGTCCAGAAGGAAAAACAAACAAACAAAAGAACCTCTAAATGGGTTGCAGTGTGTTTAAAAATATAGATAGGCTTGGGAGAGAACAAAGAAAGACAGTCATAGATGAAAAAAATTAGTTTAAAAATAATAAAGTCCTTAAAAAGGAATAAAGTAATAAAAAATATAATAAGCCAATAAAGATGCAAAATACACAGTTGTATGTTATTGTGTTGTCTTTAGATTTTTTGATTGCTAATGAACAACAGCTGCTGCTAAGACACATTGGATTATGAAAACTGCTGGATTAAACCAGCCTATATATTTTTTAAATGTCTTGACTTCAAAATGGAAGTCAAAAGATTTATTACTATGGGGAAAAAGTTATGCTTTTATTTCCACAGGAGATGAGAGGCTGTGGATTCATTCCAGGCTGATATGGATCAGGTTTGATTGGGGAAGACCCTCTGAAATCCTGACTACAAACACAGAAATAAACGTAGAAGAGCTACAAGACACGTGATGTATATTTTACCTGCTGAAACATAAAACAAAAAATTGTCTTTGGCTGACTTGTGTACAATGCACAGTCTATACTTATATTAATGCTGATATGTATGTTACCTTTGAAAGTTTATGTATTTTCAGAGCAAGGGGACTAGACACCAATAAAAATGGATGGCCCAGGTGATTGAGCATCCAGAGCAACTTAAGGGTTGCTGACTGAGATCCAGGCTCATAAAATATTCCAGCTAAAACCTAACAATTATCTTGATTTTCTCAAGGTTCTCCCAAACATTCCAGTGCCCACAGACAACAGGAAATAGTCTAGAGAATGACTCCTACATTCCCAAAAGATGGGTTATGGATGTTTGTTATCATTTAAGGGGGGGTTGTTACAAGCTGTCATTGGTCATATAGTCAGAAAAAGGGCTAAACAAAAGACTTAAATTCAAAGATCTCTCTCTAAAGGAAAAAGGGGGATGTGATATAGGAATGATAGGAAAAAGGTAGATTATTGAATCTATTTTAATCCACAAACAGCTATTAATCTCAAAATATTTTACATTGGTATGGAGTTTGGTTTATTGATACAAATTTAGAGTTAATTTTTTTATACTGTATGCATGTTTCTACTCTTGTTTGGGGCATTGTGTTTATGTAACTCATTTTTTTTGGGAATGTAGGAGTCATTCTTTAGACTATTTCCTGTTGTCTGTGGGCACTGGTATGTTTGGGAGAACCTTGAGAAAATCAGGATAATTGTTAGTTTTTAGCTGGAATATTTTATGAGCCTGGATCTCAGTCAGCAACCCTTAAGTTGCTCTGGATGCTCAATCACCTGAGCCATCCATTTTTATTGGTGTCTAGTCCCCTTGCTCTGAAAATACATAAACTTTCAAAGGTAACATTTCATTTCTTTTTTTTTTTTTTTTTTTTTTTTTGGTTTTTCAAGACAGGGTTTCTCTGTGTAGCTTTGCGCCTTTCCTGGTACTCGCTTTGGAGACCAGGCTGGCCTCGAACTCACAGAGATCCACCTGGCTCTGCCTCCCGAGTGCTGGGATTAAAGGCGTGCGCCACCACCGCCCGGCTAACATTTCATTTCTTAAATGAAAAATGAGAAAGGTGTTGAGAGATGGCCATTCAGATAGAATTATAGGAAACAAAATGGAATGCGTCCTAGACAATTCTAGTGAGAATTTCCTAACAGTGATCATTCTGCTTTGGACTAATCTTTGCTAGTCACAAATCTAGATTTACACAAAGACATGGCCATTTACTCCTAAGGGATTCTAAAATATGTTGCATTTTCACTTTTTTGAAATGTGCTTCTCTGTGTTAAACTAAAATTTAGATAATGTCTTTTAAATGACTATTTTGTCATTTTTTTCTTGTCTGTATCTTTTAAAAACGTTTGTTGTGTGTGTGTGTGTGTGTGTGTGTGTGTGTGTGTGTGTGTGTGTGGTATGTGCACACACATTTGTACACACCCATGCAAGGGTATCAAGCCATAACACTCATTTGAAGGTCAGGACAACTTACAGGAGTTAGTTTTCTCTTTCCATTATGTGAGTTCCAGGGACCGAACTCAGGCCATTATGCTTGGTACCAAGTGCCTTCGTGCACTGAGCCATCTTGCTGGCCATTGCTTGTGTGTTTGACCAGATAGTTTAGATCCTTCTTTTATCTACAGTCAGATTTTGTGTAAGTGTGTCTTCATACCATCTTTTTATGAGACTTGTTTCTTTAAATCCTAACACAAGAATTAACAGAAGGATTTACTAAGTGTTCTACTGTATTTACATACCAAAATGAGCATGATGCTGGAGGGTTTTTTGTATGCTCCAAGAGGCAAAACCAAACCCCTACTTGGAGTAATTGACTTAAATGTCAGATTCTCCTGGGGGAAACTGGGTTGTCTTTATAACTTTATTCAAATAACTACTCTGATTCTCAATAGCTTTTTATGAAATTACCATGTAGGACCTAAATTGGTGCAGCTGAATTAAATAACTATTGGAGCTTAACATTCTTAATCACAAACCCACAATTTAACCAACCATTTATTATAATCAAAAAGCAATCAATATGTTGATTGTGGTGATATGCAAAATGGAGATAGAATTATTAGTAATTACCTTATATTTGTGGTTCACTGTGATGGAAAAATAGCTGGAGAGAAAATTCAAAGCACACTACACTCAAAGGCACGGTTGTGACGCTTTGAAGCAGCATGCTATATTGATTGTAGTCTTTAAATAAATTGAATAACATAGGTTGCTGTCAAACATATGAATTATTCATTAAGCACAGTTTGGGAACACTGAAGCAGCCTCTGTTGATGAATATTCAGATGTGTTAATAGACAAATGACTGACCTGGCATTAACCAATTCTTGCATACAGAAAAGATCTTGCCAACGAAAGGGGAATCTAGGAGGCAAACTTACTCGAGTCGCTAGATTGTGACACAGTCCATTTGGCAGCTAGGGGAAGTCTCTCTCTGACTGGGAATGCTCAGTGCTCACAAAGTGTTTTCCTGCACACTCCAGAACTTGGGGTTTTTAGGATCATATTTTTAGTATAACCCCTGGGATCCTTGCTATCAATATGGTACAGGCTGCCTTAAGCTGGTTGGCTCTTGGGTTCCGGTATCAAAGTCAAACTTTCCTAGCTGAAAACTTCAGTAGGTTTTCACTTACAATCCCTGACTGTCAGTTTCTTCATCCGCTGAAATGACCCTAATTTTTTGTCCTAGAACCTATTTTATAGCCTTTCTCAGGAACTCAGTGATAGGAAGCCATGGCACTCAGTGAAGATTAAGATAAAAGTGTGGTCTGATGTCTTCCTGAACGGTGATGAGTAAACCTCCAAATCCTTACCCTCACTTCTTCCTTTTACTAAACTTTCAGAAGAGGATCTTCCTATTGATTAATTATTCTTTCTTCAATAAGCATCCTTCACTCTGTTGGTCCTAAGTTAATAGCTTTAACTACATAGATGTTTGGCTGTGCTGTGTTTCTGGCCTGCAGATATAGTCATGATTCTTTCTTTTCATTTTTCTTTTCTCTCTTTTCATTGTTGTTTTGTTTTTTTTCAAGACAGGGTTTCTCTGTGCAGCCCTGGCTATCCTGGAACTCACTCTGTAGACAAGACTGGTCTTGAACTCAGAGACCAGCCTGCCTCTGCCTCCCAATTGAAAGGATTAAAGTCATGTGCCACCACTGCCCAGCACATCAAGTTTCTGAAGATAGGACCAAAGTTGCCCCAATTCAGCCTGGATGCTGTCAGACCTCTGTCCACCTGCATTTAGCCAACCTGTAGTTGTTGCGATGGATAGTGGAGTGATTTCATTCAAGCAAGGAGATAATGAGTTGGATACTTGGAAAAAATCAAGTTGTGGACTATAGAGCACCCTTAAGAATGCCGTCCTTGTCCTTTTCATCATTGTTGCCTCCCATTTCTTCCTCCCTCCCTCCCTCCCTCCCTCCCTCCCTCCCTCCCTCCCTCCTTCCCTTCCTTCCTTCTTTTCCTCCTCCTCCTCCTTTTCCTTTTTAAGATTTCTTTTTATTTATGTGTGCAGACACCCTCGAAGGTCAGAAGAGGTTGTCAGATCCCCCAGAGCTGGAATTATAGGTGGATATGAGACACATGATATAGGTGCTAAGATCTGAACTCAGGTCCCTCTGAAGAGTAGCAGGCAGCCTTAACCACTAACCCATTTATTTAATTATCTCCTAGCCACTGTTCAAATGACTAAGATTTAGATATATTTCACATCTATTTGTGTTGGTTTTAGCTAGATTGTTTCCTTTTATTTTTTTGTTTTGAGTTTAAGTTTCATATCCTCATTTTCTAATTCTGGGCAGGGCACACACACACACACACACACACACACACACACACACACACACACACACACACACACACATACACACACCCCGCACCTCCCCCATTACTAGGTATAGTTAGTGTGTCTGAGTCTGCCACTTATCAGCAATACTAGCAGGGCTGCAACTCCCTAGCTGCTTCAAATGATTTTTTTTTAATCCTTCTAGTCCCAGCACTAAATGTTTTTTAGTCTTCACTGCTGGTGGACAGGGTCATTGGCTGATTTCTGACCAATGGAACCAGCCTTGAGTGTTTAGAATTATTTCCAGGCTTGTTTTGAAAAAGCCCTCCAGTGAAATCCCCTCATTGTCTGGTTCTTTATGAGCTGTTGTAACACAGCAAGATGCGGTGGAGTTGGAAAGCTGGAGGGACATTTGTTCAGAGACCTGACCACACTGTGTCCTGGCACTTTCTACACCCAAACTCTTACAGGCATTGGTTATCCAGGTACCAGGCTTTTGTTATTGTTGATGTTCATTTCACCAGTGATCCTTCCTGGCTTTCAAATAAAAGGGGTTCAGAGTGGCAGCTATCCATAGCGAATTTCTGTCCAGTAATGGCTTTGGTCACATATTTTAAAAACTAGAATGTGCTATTTTTTCTTGTTGACAAATAATTTTATTTTAAAATATAAATACTTTCTGACATCAGACCTCAGAATGAAAGAATTCAAATGTACTTGAAAAGGTTATCAGTCCTAAGAAGTAATAAAAAAAATACATGTAGTGAGAAGAATAAGTTTGGATTATAATACATTTTGAAGGAATGATAAAATACTTTTGAGACAGTGTTTAGTAATGGATATTTCATATAGGCAAATTCAAAACAGGCTTGTAAAAGGTAAAACACATTATTGTATAGGCATATCTTATGTGCTATTTAAAAAAGTAAGTTATACAAGTCACTATACACTTCTAGAAAAACTAAAAAGAAAGTAAAAGCGTTTATCCTTTTAGACTGTGTAGATACAGATATATCTTCCCGACAAGAATAACCACATGCTAGTATTAGTTCCATTCTTGCTGCTATGACCAGACACCTGGAAGAGAGAACGTAAAGGAGGGAGGGTTTATTTGGGCTCATAGTTCACAGGAACACAGTCCGTCCATCCTGGCAAGGAAGGCATGGCAAGAAGAGGGTGGGTGTCTGATCACATCTGGTCCCTGCTCAGGACACAGAGAGAGATGAAAGCTGGTGTTCTTGGTGTTCTACTGCCTGCTCCTTCTAAGGTTTTCATTTAAAGTGTGACTCTCTCTCTCTCTCTCTCTCTCTCTCTCTCTCTCTCTCTCTCTCTCTCTCTCTCTCTGTGTGTGTGTGTGTGTGTGTGTGTGTGTGTGTGTGTGTGTGTGTGTGTGTGTGTGTGTGTACATGAGTACAATGTCCAAAGAAGCCAGAGGGGCATCAGATTTCTTAGAGCTGTAGTTATAAGGGGCGGTGAGCCACCCCACATGGCTCTGGGAACAGAACTCAGGTCCTTTGGAAGAACAGTAAGTGCTCTTAACCCATGAGCAATCCCTTAGCCCTATTTTCACTTTTTTGTTCAATCTGGGCTCCCAGACCATGGAGTGATGCTTCCTACAGTCAAGGTGAGTCTTCCTACCTCAGCTGAAGATCTCTGAAAACACTTTCGCAGGCATGTCCATGATTTGTCTTTCAGGTGATTCCAGATCCAGTCCAGCTGACAGTTAAGACCAATCCATGTTTAGTGTCTTATAACTTTTTCCATTGTTTGACATTTACTGTAAACATTTTTTGTATATGTCATCATTTTGAATGATGGCACTGTCACCTAAATTTCCTGTGATGAATATCCATGTACATTTATCTTTACCTCTGTCTTTATTTTGTTAAGGTCATTGTTGAGTAGAAGCACCAATTTAACATCTTGTTCTACAGCTACTACAGCATTATGTGAGTTCATTAGCTTCGGCAAAGCCACAGTCTTATTTTAATTTGTAGGTTGTAAGCGGGATTCTGTTGGAGAGCTTGCCAACATTTTTTAAATTTGTTTTTTAATCCCTTGACAATTCCGTGCATGTATATCATGTATTTTGGTCATTGTGATCCCTATTATTTTTCCGTTCATCCTCTTTTAACTCCCACTAAACCCCTTTCCAACAAGCCCACCTCCTATGTTGATGACTTTTTGCGGGTGTAACCCACTGTGTTTGATTAGGGTGGCTTGCCTGAGAATGGTTGTATATTGGAGTGCATTCAGCTTACATCACTGAAGAAAACAATTCCTTCTCCCTCAGCTACCGTAAACTGCCAGTAGCTCCCCAAGGAGGGGTGGTCTTAGGAAGGGTGGCCTTATGAGTCCCTCCTCTGTTCAGCATGAAATGTCGAAAGGCCCCATTTGGGCCAGATTTAGTAGGCACCCACAGCTGTTGTGAGTTCATGGGTACAGTCACATCACGTCCCGAAGACAGCGTAGCACTCTTCTTATCAGCTGGCTTTTCTTTCTTTCCACTCCTTGTATGATGTTTCTTAAGCCTTGGGCGTGGTGGGCAGTGGAGAGGGGTGATACAGACATCCCATTCAGAGCCAAGCACTCCACAATCCCTTGATCTCAGTATTTTAACCAATTTTGAGTCTGCATTAACCATGCAAACAGAGGCTCCTCTGAGCAAAGCTAAGCTCAGCACTAATCTATGAGCAAAAACCTAAACATTCTTAGGGAAGTTTGACACTATGTCTAAAACAACAGCTGGAGGTTCCTCCTCTTGCCAACTTTTATCATTATATCGTGGGAAACTTAAACTGAAACTTTGGGGTGCACAGCATAGAATTACAGTCTCTCACTGTCTTAGTTTAGGTTACTATTGCTGTGGTCAAACACCATGACCAAAAGCAAGTTGGGGAGGAAAGGGTTTATTTGGTTTATGCTTCCACACCCATAGTCTAGCACTAAAGGAAGTCAGGACACAGGAACTCAAACAAGGCAGGGACTTGGAGGCAGGAGCTGATGCAGACCTCATGGAGGGGTGCTGCTTACTGCCTTGCTCCCTATAGCTTGCTCAGCCTACTTTCTAATAGAATCCAGGACCACCAGCCCAGGGATAACTCTACCGACAATGGGCTGGGCCCTCCCTCATCAATCACTAATTAAGAAAGCGTTGTATAGGCTTACCTACAGGCCAATCTGATGGAGGTTTTTTTCTCAGTTGACGTTCCCTACTCTCAGTTGACTCTAGACTGTGTCAAGTTGACGTAAGCACACTTATGATAAAATGTTTCTGGGGGGCACTTATTATAGCTAAAGTTCCTAGACAGTTCTTGGGGTAGGCAGGCTCACTCCAGTTCATTCACACTTTCCTGTGTCTGAGGTCTGCCGGGCAGGATGTGGTTAAATACCGTGATAGAGTGTAAGCTGAGCATTGCATTTAACATTCTGAGGAAACCATTGTAGAAAGGAGGCTCCTCCACCTCCAAGCCCTAATTTGCATGACTAATCATTTGCTTAGCAGAAAAACTTCCTTCAGCTTTTATGATGTCAACCAACAGACACCACGGTTAGATGAAAATATGAAGGGTCTATTTAGGATAACCCTATAGATGCTGTGTGTCTTGTAAGTTGCCCTTTGAAGGTCTCCACCTCTTGGTTGACTGGTAGATGTCATTCACCTGTCATCACAGGGCAAACAAGGAAGTAGTCCACATTCTAAATTCTAGGAGTGGCCCCCTGCTGTGCTGGTACCACATCTCTGGTCTCACTGACATTATGCAATCATGCAGGGCATACACACAGCTTATCTTCTGCTTGCAATATAGGTTGCATTGAGTCTATTAAATAGACCTAAGCCAAGAGTGGATGTCAAATGCCCCCCTTTGGATGGCGAGTGATCTTTTGATGAACGCTCTCAACAGCTGGCTTCAAAGATGTAGAGCAGCCTGAGCAGTTGAGGGCCCAGATAACAGGTTGTGTGCTCAATTGCTGGCATATGCAGGAGATATTTTTGGAGATAGAGTGACTAAGAACCAACTTCCATAAACATTTTTTTAAGAGTCAGAATCACACATAAATATTTTCAAAATATTTTGGTTGGCAACATGTGATTTTGGTTTAAGCTATTTGGATGGCTAATAGAGTCCAAAGACAGTTGGTTAAGTGTTTCGTGTGGGGCCCAGTTTCACAAGCTGCCCTCATTATCAAGAGTGGCAAAAAAAAGGAAATTTGAATGATAAAGCCACACCCTTCTGTGTCCTCTTCTAGTTGTTCAAATACCAGGGACAGTGCAAGAAGATGATTAGGCTTCACCTATCTCTTCTCCGGGGAGTGTTTTGGTGACGGCATGGCAAGGGTCATACTGGCTAGGAAAGCTACACCATTTGCTGGTTTACAGTAGCAATCTAGTCCCTAGCAGCCAAAAGGCAAATAGATTCATCATAGAGTTTTACTGTGAATCACTGGAATGCATTTAGCCTACAAGTAGGAGCTTTACCTAAGGAATAGGGGGGCTTTACCTAAGGAATAGGGGGCAGCTACTTCATGGTTGAATTGTCTTGGATATTGACAAGGGGAATGCATAGCTTCTCTCCTACAGTCAGTAGTCAACACTCACGCCCCTTTGCTGTTGCTTCATGAAAGGATGTTCTAATGGTCCCTATGGTAGGGGATGGCGGTGGGGATGTGTGGCTGTGCGGGGGTGGGGGTGGGGTGGTGGCGGGGGATGGAGGGTGACTGTCTCCTGTCTCAAATTGGAATCTTACCTAAATTGTTCCTGGTCGGCATACAGCCCTCTCCGAGTCTTCCAAGCATCGGGCAGCAAGCTGGCGTGCGGCACTGTGTTCTAAGGAGAGGACATTTCCCTGAAGAACCGTTCATGTCTCTCCTGCTTTTGGAGCCTGAAGATGCAGTGGTCGCTTTTCTCACGGTTGCAGCAAAGTATCTGAGGAAATCGGCTTAAGGATGGGTTCATTTGGCTCATGGTTGGAAGGTTCCAGCCATCATGATGAGGAGGAAGTCGTGGCAGAGGGAGCGCCAGGCCGCGGGTCACATTTGCCTCTGCAGGTGCTCGGTTCATTTTCTCTAGTCTCTAACAGTCCTGCTCACTGCTAGGCAACCCCACCTCAGCTAATTTAGCCGTTCCCTCACAGACAGGCCCACAGGTTCGTTCCCTAGGTGATTCTGGATTCTGTCACGTTGACAACCAGGGTGAAGCACCACAGGGCATAAGCCAAAGTTTGATGGGCAATAGTGCTTTCCAGAACAGGGAAAAATTAGCAGCCCGGGTGTCACAAACTGGTGGCCCGTGCCCTTCACTCTTTATAGGGAAATCCTACAGTGTGTCTTCTTTTATGTTTGACCAAAGCCCCTGACCAATTCCCTAAAATGGTTGCTCTGTTCTCTGGAAAAAATAATGATGTTCACTGATCAATTTGCACGTTTGCACTCTTGGCTCTGATCTCTTCTATGGTTTTCACGGTTGGTCGATCCATTTTTCAGACATGTGATATTGAAGAAAGTCACTTCACCGTTCTGGGCCCCATGTGTACCATTAAAATAACATAGGTACTTGATTGATTTTTAGAGCCTTCAGATTCCATAACCTAAGATTGTGATAATCCTAAATGCATTTATTTAAAAGGTACCAAATAGTAAATCCAACCTGTGTCTGCAATATTGCAAACAACCCTGGCCACAGACTTAGGTGCTCAGGGAAAGGCCTGTGTGGGTTGGTGAGACATCCAAGACCACCAAGAAGCAAAAGTTAACCCAAGAGCAGCTTCCGAGCACACTCCAGATACCGAGGACCTTAACCCAAGGAGTTCTCCCAAACTCCCTTTCTAATCCCAGCTCTGTGGCCCACCTGTGAGGCTGCTGCAGGGACAGCAGGACTCCAGAGACCCATGGAGCCCACAGACTCCAGTGTGCCTGCCTGCTGTGCCCACGCTGGGCATCTGGCACATTCAAGGTCCGGCGTCCTCACAGCCTCGCAGCCTGCTCACGGCTTATGAGTTATTTTGTGCCCAGCCTGGGACCTGACGCTTCCTTTTTCTTCTACACTTGCTCAGCCACAACCGACCCTTACAGAGCACCTTCCTTCCATCCGGACCCTCCCCAACTCTCTTCTTTCACACGCCCCGTGTCTTGTAGCTGGGTGTAGCTCTGTCTTCGTGCCTGTTCCCAACAGCATGGCCAGGGTCCCCGTCTCTTCTTGGAACGGGAGTCTCCTTCGAAGGATCAGACTCATGATTATGCCTCACTGCCCACAGACTGGTGACAAACCTACTACATGGTGCCACGCTAGTGCTTCCCGACCCCTTTCTCTCAGACCTCTGCAGTCACAACTGCCCGGCACCACTCACAACGCAGAATTCACAAAACCAGAATTAACTGCAGCTGCAAGTGTTTGTCCTTCTCCCGCTCTCGAGTTTTGCCCCTGGGGACAGGGAGATTTCCAAGTCTCCTTGCCTCCCCCCCTTCCTGCCGTCTGCAAGCGCTGCTCGGCCTGGCTGCGTCCCACACCGCGACACAGGCAACAGTCATGCGTGAACTAAAAGTTACGGCCACAAAGAGAAGAGCCAAACTTTTAGCAAGCCGGAAAAACTTCAGGGCCCCATGCAAATCCTCTCCAAGTATAAAATGCCTGAAAGTGAGAAGACAAAATGCTCTCTAGTTTCCCTATTCCTTTCTTTTACATTCTGGAACATTCTTACAAAGCTATCCTGAGGGTACAGCTTGCACTGTTTTCTTGTATGCTAACCTCTCTCGTGATGTGATCATGTTATTTTATATAAATCATCTCTATGTGTCCTCAGAGGATATTCGAGGTAGCAGGGAATGATGATGGTGGTGGTGATGGTGTGCTCTGTCCTGGTCCAGTGTCCCTGGAATATAGTAGATGTCTGAACTAACCTTCAAGGGCCTTGCCCTTCCCATCTATGAAAAGGAACATTTCTCCGCCCGCCCGCCTGCCTTGCAAGCTTGCGAAGATGAAACAACAAAGCCCTTTATATGGATGCCACAGATAGGGCTGTGAGAACTCGGCTCTTTTGGCCTTGTTACCAAGGACATGCGTCTTGGGCTCTTTGTAAACCTTTCTTTTAAATCACCTTTTTCTTTATCTTTTATTGCAAACTGCTCTGTGGAATAGGTTGAAAAGCATCATTGTTTCACTTTATGGACGAGAAAATGGAGAGTACCAAAAGATAAAGCATGGGATTTACCCAAGATATCAGTGATAAGCAGACAGGAGAGAGGAAGGGAGTGCTGGGTCGGCATCTTCTCTCCGGTTCACTCGGGCCTCGGTCTACCCCACGCGAACACCCCTCTCCTGTGTTTGTTTAGTCTTTGTGAGCCAGGAAGCTCTCCTTGCCAGGCATGGGGGCAGGATCTGTGAACACTTGCGGTCAGGCGGAGGGGCCAGGCTCGTCGGAGTAATGAACCAAAGTTGAATTACAGGGAAGGAGCAAAGTTCAGGATGTCTAGCCCAAGATCGATGATCAAAAGATGAAAAAAGAAGATCTGAGTGGATAACTAGGACAGCAAGAGCTATACACACAAGGCCAAGATCAAGCCACCTGTGTAGCCAGCTGTGAAAGGAGCCAGGTTCCGACTGGGGGTGGTCTGGATTCCTTTTCTGGGAAGGGGTCTGTTGGCATGCCTCTGAAGGCTCACACCTGACTCTGAGTATGTACACTGCCTCGTCTCAGGCCTCCTGCCCACTTAGCCAGTCTGCACACGTGAGCCAGGGCAGATTAGCTGAGATGTGTCAGGGCAGGCGTAGGGTTCCTACTGTCCCTGACACAGTGCAGGGTATCCACCAGGGCATTGATGGCATTTTACACAGGCAGCTTCTTGGACATTGGAGAGTATTTAGGACAGATGCTGTCTAGAGGTCACTACAGACTATTTCTACCCCTCTAATTCTGACAACCCAAAATGTCAAGACATGTTTAAATGTTCCCTGGAGGTAGGCAGACACAGGTGACCTAAGGCTGAGAACCACTGGTTTAGTATTAATAAGCAACAATTACCAATTATTTACTAAGCACCAGGCCATGCACAAGGAAAAGCAACCAAAATGGAGATAACAGAAACATGGAAACAGGCTCTCCTCTACACAATTAATCAGATCCCCGAGGCTTCCCATGTTCTTCAACCCCATAAGCACCATTTTCAAGGACATGTAGACCATTTCCAGTCAAGGACTATCGTTTCCCTGTGTGCTTCCTCTCCACAGGGTACATACACAGGGTTATATGCTAAATATATTTATTTTCCCCCTAGACCTCAAGTAAATGATGTCCCATTGTATTTATTATGATGGTTCCATTTAGTTACAGAGTATATAAGCTGAGTAGGTCTGAGCCTGAAGGGCTGTCACTAAGAAAATTAAGTTGAATGCTTTGGGAAAATATGATAAGCAATTATTTGACAAGTTAAATATGACGAAGAGAACCTCTAAAGAGGCATAGAAAAAAAATCACAGAATTCTCAGAGAGTGTAAATTCTTCATACATTTGAAAGACTTCAAAACTGGAAATTGCCACCAATGAATTGTAGATCTGGATTAGATAATACAAAGATGTAAAGTTGAGTGAGCAGGTCTTTCTCAAGGAAAAGACCTACGCCTTATAGAAAGATGAATAAAAGTGCATAATGTGTATGTTTAGGCTGGGAGAAGATGCAATGCCTCCTTGTGTATTTAGTGATTCTTTTTATTTACCAACCTGTTACCTACCTCTGTAGCTGAAGTTTTCCTGTGTCCTGCCTGACCCATAGTCAGGACAAATCTCTCTCACCAGCCAGTCCCACAGCCACTCAGACCCAAGTAAACACAGAGAGGCTTTTATTATTTTTAAACTATGGCCATGGCAGGCTTCCTGCTAGCTAGCTCTTATATCTTAAATTAACCCATTTCTATTAATCTATGTTTTGCCACATTTTCTGTGGCTTTACCTGCGTCCCATTAGATGTTGTTCCTAGGGCAGCTGGATGGTGTCTCCTGACTCAGTCTTCCACTTCCCAGAATTCTCCTTGTCTGTTTATCCCACTTATACTTCCTGCCTGGCTACTGGCCAATCAGCGTTTTATTTATCAACCAATCAAAGCAACACATTCACAGCATACAGAACATCCCACAGCATGCCTCAGTTGCTTCAGATAGCTGGGATCTCTCAGATTTCCCCCATTTTGATCTGAGAAATTAAAATCATGGGAACTTACTGGTCTCTTCCTAAAGAAGATGTAGCCTTCAGGTTATCTGGACAATTAAATGTAAAACATGGATATCAGATTAAATCATACTATTTATTTAATTTAAATTGTTTTCATACAAGGTATCATAGCTTAGCTCAGTTTGGCAATTAATTTCCTAGGTAGCCCAACTGGTCTCATGGCAATTCTCTTTCCTCAGCCTCTAAATGTTGGGATTATAGGCTTGTACTACCACATACATGAAACCACACAATTTACATCAGCAATATGAATGGCAAAATTAAACAGGGAGAATTGAAGAGCTCCTTGTATGTACTGTTTTCTGTTTAGCTTCATGACAGATACTGTGGCTTTAAAGGCCATTTAGAGGAGGGGGCAAGAATTTGCTGGATTGAAAGAACTGGCCCATCCCTGAATAACCAGAAATAGTTACAACAATTTCTATATTGCGGGAAACCAATGCAAATCCATACTGAAAAGACAGATATAACTCTGATATAATATCTGCGTTGACTTGGAGTGCTTAGGGAAGGACCTAACTGGAAATGAAGAAACAATAGATACACATACAGAAACGCTGGGATCAGGTGGGTCATGAGCTCTATGGTGACACCCCATCAGCAGCCTGGAAACTCAGCTGTAGGAGGCCTCTGTGGGGGAGCAGTCTCAGGCTGTAGTCATCTAGGAAGAAGAAGTTGCAGTGAAGAGTTCCTACAGACACTGGTTTTAGCTGAAAGCCAATCATTACTCCAACCAGGGCAAGACTTCGGTATTCTGATGGGCCTGACTTGGGGAAGGCTTTGCCATTCCTATGGGTCTGAGGCACTGGGGTTCATGACATGACCATGCTCATGTCAATAATACACATTCACTCAGGGCTTTATCTACTCCCTACAAATATCAAAATGTTTTACCTTGGTCCAGCATGGTAGCTCATGCCTATAATTGTAGCACTCAGAAAAATGAGGCAGAATTATGAGTGCTAACATCTGTTCTCCACATACACAGGCACCCACTTGTGCACACTCATATGTGTGAGTGAGTTCATAAACTCAAAACAGAAGAGTATTACCTAGTATATAACTAGGTAATATAGTAAATCAGACATGGTAAGTCTTAAGCAAAATCTGGGTGAGCCTGGCCATGGTTCAAATTTTTGACCAAGACATAATGCACAAACACTGTCCAGTCCTAGATTATGTTAAAATTAAGAATTTTAGT